CCCACCATGTTGCGTCAAAAGATAACCAAGCGGATCTGCTAACCAAAGGATTAAATTGTGATGCAGGTTAAAAACTGACTAGAGGAATGGGGCTTAAGCCTGCTGAGGAAAAAAACTTATAATGGAAAACCCAACCTAAAAAAATTGGAGATCCCAAAAACTAGGTACAATGGGACAACCTACCTATAAAACTTATGTTTGTTACTATGGGGGCTAATATCCTCAACCTATTCCTATCAACGAATAGTGACAGAGTATAGGGGATAACAAATAATTTCTTTAATGATTACTAAGTGAGTGTTGCATCACTCGGAAACTTAGAAAGATCACCTATGTGAGAGAGAAGTGAGGCCACTTCAAATGAGAAATGTTCAGGCTCAGTTCTTTAGAAATTCTCGCAGAACCAGGACGGGTTCCATGGCCAAAACGGATCAAACAATGGGAACCGAGCTAGACACATGAATTTTGTGTCGGTATGTAGCCCACTTACTAGAAAATTGAACAGTTCAAGGACAAATCAACGATTCAAATTAGTCAAAAACGGATGACTACATTCACGACAAATATTATTGATTAGATATATTCTTTTAATATATATAGTCACATAAGTTGTTGAGATTTGTAAGAAAAATGTTGATAATGTTTATTTTCTACCCAACAATAAGGAATTATGAAATCTATATCAACGGTTCGGATTAATTTTTTTAATTGATAAGATCTAATATTCATCTAATATACATATGTCTATCTATATTATAAATACGAGTGTGTACTACATGTCACTTGAAAGTACTAATTTACCCTTTCTTTTATTTGCAGTTTTATCCTTCATCTAAAAATTTTAGCGTCTCTCATCTCTTCTGCCATATTTATCAAATCCTTTCAATCTCATTTCAATTCTCTACTACCAACATAACAACCAAACCTTATCTAATCCATTTCAATCTTAAAAAAACCAAATATCCACTTCATCGTTGATATTTGGTCATAACTCCGGCCGCCACGCTGTCGTCTCAAACCCTTTCTGGGTGCTCGAGGTATGTCATTGCTCTTTTTTTATATCTTGTAGTGTGAATTAGAATTATCGACCGTTATGAACAGAAACTCAGTCTGGATACTGCCGGTAGTAGTGTTAATTATGTCTTGATCGGTCTAAATATGTCTATAAATACAACTTATTATTTTTATTTATTTGTATTTTAACATTTTACTTCTTATTCCAGTATATTGAATTTTTTTCTCAAAATGTCCATATGAGGTGGTGGTTATAGTCGTGATGAAGATATGTTGCTATGTCAACAATATTTGAATATTTCGCAAGATCAAATTACTAGCCAACAACATTTAAGTGATCAAATTTGGAATCGAATCACCGATACATATAATCAAAATAAAAAGACCGATTGTGAGATACATAATGCTAGATCTGTACACAACCCGATCCAGACCATAGAGAGAGTTGTTCAAAAATTACCTTATTTCATATACAAAAAAGTATAATTCAAGTAATTGTCTTTATGTATGTGTATATACACACACCCTATGTGTAAGCACAATGGACAGGGCCCGATTTTGGGACCGTCAATCCGATTTAATATCATTGTATGTGTGGTAATTTGTATGTATGCATGTTTAATTAATTTAAGTCATTTACAATTCAAAGTAAAATGAAATATGAATCTATTTATATCTTCGACAAAAGAGAACACGTGCTTGACAATGACACTTTTACATATTTTAATCTCCATGACCATGCAACACCCATAGGTTGTATGGCAACTTCATCATATCCAATTTATTTGTATAAATATCACTAATATGGATGTCATACATGACTCTGTATGGAGACAATATGATAGGCAGACATAGAGACATGCTGACAAGTACAAGAATCCATCCCACGAAATTGGTGTTGCTCAATTCACTAGATATACCAAACATACCACCGTAGCACACAATATCAATTACTACCAGAGTATCGTATGAAACTCATGTTGAAGGAATTGCTTTGGGAACCACAAACATAGATTAGCTGCAGTAAAGATAGTCTCTATCGACGATCCGACAACTCCAACAACTCAGTATGTGCTCCACATGCATGTTATAAACTTTAATTTCCCGTACAAATCTATCAATCACACGACGGAAAGACGAGACAAACGAAATGTGCTACAAAAAGAATTACAAAAGAGAGTAAGGATTTTGTTGTAAAGAAAACAATCTAAATGAAGGATTGCATGGTAGATAAGGCCAATCAAGCGATGACGAAAGCCAGAGACTACAAGGATTACAGAATTGAGAAAACGAATAAATGCTACGACAGGAAAAATCGCAGAATTGAGGGGCACAATGGCGGATGTAGTGAAAAGGACAAGGAATAATAAAAGTATAACAACAAGAAGAAGAAGAAAGAGAAGACAATAAATGAAACTACAAAAGGAAGACGAGTGGCGGCGGTTGTGACTTTAGGATTTTTGTTTTTACTTTTTAATTAAAATTATTATATAAAATTATTATTTTTATGATATAATATAAGAAAATTTGTACTCGCTTCGCTCCATCTTAGTTATTTGATTTTTTTTATAGATATAGAAATTTAAGCAATGATATAACTAGTAAATAATTAAGAAATGAATAAATAAAAATAATTATAATTAAGATTAATATAATTAATACATTTAGTTAAAATTTTAAAAATTATAAATTATAAAATTTAACGTATGTATGATTAACTGTATAATTTTTTTTTTTAAAATGATAAATTATGCAAGACAAATATAAATGAAAAATATAAACAAATCATGTGGGACGAAAAAAATATCTATTTAATATTTTAGTTTGAATTATTATTATTTTTTATGTGAGGGATAAAAAAATATAATACTCCCTCCGTCCTAGAATTATAGTTTGGGTTATTGTTTGACACGAGATTTAAGAAATATTGATATTATATTAGTATTGGGTAAAAAGTATGAGTAAAAAACTTTTTTGCCCTTATGAGTGTATTAGTGTAAAAAGTAGTGACAATTGTGTAATAATAATGAAAAAGTAAGGATAGTTTTATAATGATATGATTATATATGAAAATAAGACTATTATTTTGAAACGGATAAAAATGATAAACATAACTATTGTATTGAGACGTAGGGAATATAAAAAATAGTAGTACTTTTTTTGGCAAAACTGCCTATATCCCCATTGTGGTTTGGAAACTTGGCGCCATTTTCCTCCGTACTTTAAAAACTGCGCGGTTTCTCCCCTGTATTTTCAGAAATGTTGCACACTCTCCCCATTGATCAATTTTACCTAACGGTGTTAAATTTTATATGTAATGGATCGTTATACCCGTCAATTAAATATCTCACATAACTTTCTCTCACTTCTCTCCTACCACTCGTCCCCTCCCCACCGACATCTATCCCCACCATCCCCCCTAAAGTCGCCGCAGCTCCAATCGAAACTTCAGGTTCCGACCACGATTCCGCGGCGGCGGTCTCCCCCGGCGGTTGCGGTCACAATTTCAGCCAAGAACAAGTCTGTCATTCCTTCCTCTTCAGCGATATCACGGGTATTCAACTTGTTATCGCGATTTAGGGCATTTCACGGGTTATTTTCTACCTCGTTCGTTTTTTTTTTTCACGGGTTAGGGCATTTCTTCATTTTTCCTTTGCTTTCACGGACTATGGCAATTTCGGGTTGAGAAGTTCTTCGATTTGTCATAGAAGTGGATTTTGGGTTTCGGTCTGTAAATAAATGATGATATATTATCATTATTATTGAAATGTCATCAAAATCTGTTAGAATCATTGCTTAATTGAATAAAAGATTTCAGCACAATAGTCTTGCTGTAATTGGGGAACAAAAGTTCAATTCTGTAGTTATTTCATTGTCCGTAAATAAAGATGAAACAAGTGATTATATATATATATAAATAAGTAAAATTAAGAAGAAAGTGGAATGAATTAATAAATAAAAATGTGGATTATATTAAGGGTAAGGTTTAACGGATATGATGAAAGACTTTGATAATGAGGTGATGATAGTGAGGTGAGTTGAGTGACAAGTAAGAAGAAATAATTTCTTTTAACAACGGTGACGACGACGACTCATGAATTATCATATTCTTCTTCATCTTCATCTTCTTCTTCTTCTTAATGGGAGTGGAAGGATTAATTAAGAAATTTGGGTAGTTTAAGAGAAGCAACAACAAGTCTACTCGTTTACTCCACGCGTGTATTCTATCTTCCGTTTTTTTTGCCATTTGAAGAGTTAGACGCAAAGTTTTTGAAAACACAAGGGAATACTACGCCGTTTTTAAAATACAAAGAAAAACGATGCCAAATTTTCAAACCACATGGGATATAGAATTTGCCTACTTTTTTTCTCAAAAGAAGGTGCTTTTTTCATTTTTTGTCCACTTTTTTAAGCATATAAATATATGTAGTATAATATTAAAATATAAAAAATCTATCTAAAAAAAGCTAACGGCAATAGGATTGACTTCCTACATCATCATTTCTGCACTTACGAAAATACCCTTGGCATGAATGAAGAACTTCAGCGCCTTTCTCGATGTAATAATACATTTTTTAATTGATTTACTGTATTATTTTTATTTTTTTTTTCATTTCAATTGATATACTTTTATTTTTATAAGTATTTATTTTAATATATTTAACAAATTATTTTGCAAGGCTTGAAGGGCAAATTCGTAAAAGAGTAGCTTGAGGCGGCGGCGGTGGTCCCTCCAAGTCCCACAGGCAGCTCTCGCATTTTCCACGTCGTTTCGCCTACTTGTCTTTGTCATCAATTGTTTATTCAATTTTATCTTAGGGTTGCAAAAATCGCACAGCGGCGGATGGGAAGACGAGCGACGCACGACGACGATACACCGCGAAATTAATTCGACGACAACTCTGTATATGTTTGTCTATATGTGAGTATCGATTTCGAGGGGATGATTTTGTGTATGTGTTCTTCTCTGGATTTTGGGGGGTTTTATTCAGCCTTTTCTTTTAGGTTTTGTCGGTGGGATTTGATCTTTTTAGATCTACGATTTGTGTGTGGTTGTTTCTTCAATTTTATAGTTTGATTGTGGATTCTGTGGCCAGAGGAGTTACAATTGTGTTGAGAAAATGGAAAAATGGTGTTTCTTATTGCTACATGTAAAAAGTCAATCGCTTTGGATGTCGGTTGTACTTTTCAATTAAATCTACATATTTTGTTGGTGGCCGTGCCGTGTGAGATTTTTAGGGTTTGTTTGATCGGTTAATCATTTAGTTCGAAGACCTGGATGGTTGCTGCTTGTTATCTTCACCAACGTTGTCGGGGTTTTGGTTAGATCTGCTTTGATTCTTGGAGGGTTTGGTCGAATAGGTGATGTGATGGACATAATTTGAAAATTATATAGTAATTTGTGTGGTTGCTCGTGCTGGAACTTCTGCGGACAGGTATCTGTAGTTCACAGAAATTGGAAAAAAAATGCTGTGTTGTGTTGCATAAGGTTGTCAAACATGGTGTTTACCTTTACTCAAATGAACAAGTCTCTACAAGGTGCTTGCAATCCACATGCAAATAAGCTCTGAGTTTGATTCTCCGGGGCTGGTGGTCTTGCCTTTTTATCTAAAATACTTTGTGATACTTTGGCTTTTACTTCCCAGATTTTATTATTTATACTCTTTATTTCCCCAAAAAAAAAAAAAAAAACATTTTACTCTCACAAAACATCACAACAAACATTGTTTAAATACAAAATCCAAACCAAATCTTCCCCATCAAAATTGAAAGAATCACATGATGAGTATTCATCTATGATGCAAAATGAAGATTCCAATGCTTTTATAAGCAAAGAGTATATCAAAAATAATATTTTATGCATATACAAGTAAGGATGTTTGGTTTATTCAATTGAAGTATCTAGCTAAACTCACTTTAGATTACTTTTCATGTTTTTAATATGAATTCGACATAGTTTTTTTTTTCTTTCCTTTTTTTTTAATAAAATAATTGTTCAAATAAAATAGGCAAAATTGCTCATAATTCACCCCTTGCCATCTACACATAGTAGAGCATATGCGACACACGCCAATAATGTGAATTTCAAAGTTGGCATACTTCATTGATACAATAGTATTGACGTGTGTTTCATACACTCTTAAATGTAGCCGGTGGGGTTTGATGCAACATTTTGGAAAATATGGGGGTGTCACACAATATTTAAAGCACAAGGTAGAATTATGCGGAGTTTTCAAACCAAAGGTTGATTTTGGGCAATTTCGCCAATAAAGTTAAATGAAAAAAAGAACTTGTGTATTCAGTTTCGTACTCCAAAATCTTTGGTATAAGACTTCTTTTGGTTGCACACTTGTAAAATTTCTTGAGGTAATCAATACTAACAACAATGATTTTGTGTCTTTTTATTCCTCTGATTGAACTGAAAAATATAGTTTATGTTGTAACTTAAAAATACAATGACACTGTAATTCGGTTAAAGTATTTATACATGTTTGAGAATTTAGAGATTATTATTATTTTATTTTTTTCAGTCATCTATGTGATTTTTGTGCTTGGCATCTATAAGGAATATGGGCCATATGGGCCATATGCTGTTTTGCTGTACGATCGTGGTTCCACGCCCAATGTTAATAACCAAAATCCAGGAATTTTTTTGTGTCATATTTATGTATATTTGTCTGGCCTGTGCTTCCATTTTTGCTAGTTGCAGTTTGTTATATTTATCACCATTATCAAAATGATGTTTGTTTATATGTTTCATTAACTAAAAAACTTGAGATATGATAAGAGAAAAAATCTGAATGAGTTTGGCTACCATTAAGTGTACCTTGGTGCTTATATCTTCATTATGATTACATTTTATGAAATTGATCTACAATATGAAGTGTTAACTTTGTAGCAGTTGCAATAATTTAGAAAAAAGAGTTTTATGTTCTTCTTTTTTTCATCAAGAGAGGCCTTTGTCAATATATTTATGCTCCTGCATTGATTGCATAAATATTCCTGAACATATTATGGATTGGTTTTATACTTAAATCTGTATGTTCCCATCTTTTACTGGATGCAGGTATATACCTAGTGTAGCTAGCGTGTTACCCCTGCCAGGAGATGATTTGCCTACCTGGGAAAGGTGAAAGTTCTTTTTTTTTTTTTGCGAACCATGGAGGTGGTTTTCTATGCATGCAAATATTAACTCTTGTGTTCATATTGTATGTTTTTCTTTTCTTTTTAAATACTTTTAGATGTTTACAAAATGCATTGGGAAGATCCATTACTACACTCATGTCGTAAATGTTGGCACGTTGCAGCTGATCTATATAGAATAAACTTTTGGAATATGTACTTCTGGATTTTTATAAACTGCTGTGTATTTTTATAAGAGAGGATTATGTCTTTATCAGCTTAGAGTATATTTTTCTATTTTGGGTATAGGGTAGAATATTACTTTATATAAAATAATGGTAATATTTTAAAAATGTAGCAACTATTATTTTTTATGTTTATTTTTTATCGGATAGTAAATTAATTTTATTGATAGGTAAGTTTTGGCTACAATATAAATTAACTGGATAGATAGACGGAAGCTATAGAAAAGCTTATAAATTGATGTTAACTTTAGCGTCATGCTTAGAGCACTTGCAACGGCAGCATCGGGTAGATCAGCAATTTAAAAAAATAAAATAAATAAAAATGCTGAGATCTCCTCTCCCCTGCATCTCTACAAGATGCTAGGAAGATTTTTACATTTTGCCATGTGTCCTATTTTAATTGGGACACATGACATATCTATATGATATAAATATTATAAATGTATATATGTTGTTTTTTGGAATTTATTTTAAAGGTGTGTTTGTTTGGGGGTTTGGATTTTGAGTTGGGATTTGAATAGTAAAAATTTTGAATTTGAATAGTTGTATGATATGATATAAATAGGTGTTGATGTGATGTTTTGAATGTAAAATTGATTTTTAGTATAATATAAAAAATGAAAAATAAGTGTTTGATTTGATGTTTTTGGGGGGGGGGGGGGGAAAATTGGATGAATAGTGTAAATCCAATCCAATCCCCCGGACAAACACACCCTAAATGTATTATTATAATTAATTTTGTAATATTTTTATAATATATAAAATTTTGCATTCTACAAATGATATTAATATTATATATATTTTGATTAATTTAAATGATAACTATAATAATTAAAATGTAACACAATATTTTGATAATTTAATTAATTTTTAAAAAATAAATAATATGATGACATTAATTGTTATTTAATAAATTAAATATTTACAAATAGTATTAATTCATTGATTGATTAATTATATAATTAAGAAAAAGTTAAAATATAGAAATAAATTTTTTTTGAGGAGTATCTTTTATTGTGGGTATAAAATGAAGAGGGAAATCTCGTTGCGGATGGTCTTAGCGAAATGGTCTGCCATCTCATTTGCACTTACGGAAATATGGTGGAATTTAATGAGGGGTATCTTTTCATTGAAGAGTTGAAACTTGTTGAAGTCTAAGTTCAATTCTAGGGAAGTGTAGAGCCAAGGATCCATTTGAAAACATTTATTGTATTGCATTTGTTAGATTAGACACATTTATTATGATTAGTTAGGCCCATTTAGGCTACGTATATTTACTTGTAATAGTTCCTAGTATGTACTTCATTATTGAAAAAATAGAATTCCAATGTACATGATGTAGAACACATATGTGCATGGCATTTACCACCTTTATTAAGGTTTAAGTCATCACACCCACCATAGCTGCCTCTGCCATTGGTGCCGTCACCTCCCTAGAAACCCTAATTTTTCTCCCAACAGTTCCAACATGGCTTCCGCCCAGACATGTCGGACTTGTAATTGTAGCCGTTTTTCGACCTATTTTTTATGCCGCCTTCAGACATGCACCATCCCGAGGCGTTCATGATGTCACAACATGTTGATTGGTGTAGCCATAGTCTTGCATGTGCCACACGCTCTGTCGCCATGTTCTGCCATCTTTTCGTTGGATTAAACCAGATTTACGCTGTAGTGATGTCTGTCATTATTGAATGAGTTGATGGACTGATGAATCATTTAATCTTTTGATGTCTATTCAAATGAATCATTGGATACATGCTTCTGTTTGTGGCCAAGATTGTACTTGGATATACCACCCTAGATTTCTTATTTGGTAAATAGATTTGATGCACCCTAAAATTTGTAGCTAGAATGTCTTTCATTCTACTTAATTGTCTAGGTTTCCCCATGCAAACACTGCTGTGCTTTGTTATTATTTTAACAGTAATGCCAACAATTGACTTTTGTGCTCATAGGCTGTAGTTTCCTATCAAACTGATTGGTGCTTGCATTGTTCTTATTATATCTTATATCCAGAAGTGTGGTATGCAGTATATCTGAACATTTAATTTCATACTCAGGTTTTCTCCAGTTCTCTTAACAGTTTTGTCTTGTTGAGATAAAGTCTGAAGTAAGCTGTACAAAACTCTTTCCTTGCTACTTTTGGTTGTTTTGGTGGACATTGATCCATTAGGTAAAAATGAACTCAAAGTTCGAAAAGGTATTGGATAGTAGTCGACGAATTGTTGTTGATCTGAAGAGAAAGCAGTCTGATGGAGGCATAATCTCTTCTGCTGGAGGTTCTCAGCTGCTGATACCCCTGCATTCTGTTCCCAGGCATTATGACCATAATCTTACCAAGCGAAGGAAATTGGATGGACCTAAAACCAAGTGCTGTAACTGTGGTTTTACGTCAGGAAAACACCTACTTAAAAACTATAATAATTTCAAGAAAACTGGAATTCTGCATCGATTGATGTATTATTACAATGATGAATGGAACGATTTCTCCCAGGATGTTATTGCATTTGCTAACAAAGATCTTCTGAGTCAGAAACCTGTGATCGAGGTGGAGGTTAATGAAAACAAGGTTTTATTAGACTTCTTGCATATGATGCTGATAGATCTGAACACAGGTTTGCATCAATCTATTGCTTGGATTGATGTCTCTGGAAAGTGTTTCTTCCCCGAGGTGGTTAATGAATGTGATGAGCTGCGTAATTGTCATAATGAAATTGCGGTTGATGACTGGTTGGTAACTGAGCCCCAGGAATCCAACAATATCAATTTGCATTTGGAGATTGAAATACATGGAGGAAATGATGAGTCTAGTGGAGAGTCTAATGTTATTGTCGAGCAAGTAGAAGTTCATGAGAATGATGCACTTGACATCAATAGTTATGCCAGGGCATCAAATATGGTAGTTGATGACAAGCTTGTGAATAATCAACCAATAGAAGAAAACATGATCATGATGCATGATCCTGTACCTGGTTCTTTGGATTCGGACACCATAAAGAAGATCTTCTTCAAAACAATTAGCTCAACTGATGCAGAGATTGTTGAGGTTCTTCATGGCATGAGCAACACACGGTTGGAACTTTTCATGAAACAGGCTGAAATGACTAGACGTTGCCGTGGGGATGCTAATATCCGATATGCTTGGCTCCCTTGTTCTAGCAGAGTTGTTTCATCTATATTGAAGTATGGAGTAAGCCATTATGAATCATTCAAAACTAAGCTATTGTATGGTGCAGGGATATATCTAATTCCTGCAAATGGCACTCAGACCAGGTATGACTAGTATTTCATTTTATCTTATAGTTATATTTTGTCGTTTCTGTTGGCGGTTAATTCCTCCCATCGCACAGGAGCTGATTTGATGATATTATGTTTTTGGTTGACATGTTATATGATGGCCTATCATATTGGCATTCCATATAGCCAAATAAATTATTTCTATATGAAATTCTCAATCAATACTGTATCCTGGTCTGGATGTTTATCTGTTTTGTATCACTTCTTTTTTCCTATGTTTTTCCAGAATCCAAGATTTTGATGTTGACGAAAATGAAACACGACATATGGTACTTTGTCGTGTTATAATGGGGAATATGGAGCCTATTTGCTGTGGATCTAGACAATTCCATCCTAGTAGTGATGAATTTGATAGCGGTGTTGACAATGTTCAAAATCCTAAGCACTATGTTATATGGACTATGAATATGAACTCTCACATCTTCCCGGAGTGTGTCGTTAGTTTCAAGATGATCTCAGATTCTGAAGGTGATATCTGATATCTTGTATTTATCTTGTTCCTTTTCCGTGTGATTGTGTTTGTGTACAAGACATCTTTAGAGCCTGCAGCCGTGTTTTGTAGCCCACAATGTTATCTACGATGGTATCTTTCATTCTCTCTTGAATTTGTGGAATCCTTTGAATCAGTTTAACTGAGCTGATGAATATTAACTTTGTTTCTTTTTTAGCATTAATTAATTTCTTAGTACACAGGTTTTGTGTTTCTCCTTTTGCGGACTTGATATTAATTTTAGTTCCAATTAACATTAATTATTTTATTAAAGTTGAAAAAGCATTATCTGTTATTTTATCAATAATAAATTACATCGCGAAAGTTGTACGGGTGTGTTTGTTTGGAGGTTTGGTTTTTTTGTTGGGATTTAAATAGTAATTTTTGAATTGGCATAGTTGTACGATGTGATATAAATAGAAGTTGATGTGATATTATAAATGTAAAATTAATTTTTAGTATAATATAGAAAATAAAAAATAGATTTTTGATTTGATATTTTTGAGGAAAATTATTTTATGAATAAATTTGATAAAATGTGATAAAAGAAGGGTGTGTTTGTTTGTGGGTTTGAGTTTTTTAGTTTGGATTTTTTAATAGTAAAAAGTTGAATTTGAATAGTTGTTTAATGTAATATATATAGAGGTTGATGCGATGTTTTTAATGTAAAATAAATTTATAGTATAATATAAAAAAGAAAAGTAATTGTTTGATTTGATATTTTTGGTGGGAAAAAAGGATCTGAATAGTAAAAATTTCTGGTAAAACCCACAAAAGAACACAACCAAATACACCCGTAGAGTTATCTATTTTTACTTCTCCGTACAGTGACAAGCTTACATGCAATATGTTCTAGTAGTCTAGATATTTAGTGTTTTCATGGACTCACATATATTAGCGGAAAACTAATCACTATCTCACTTTGAACTGTTTAACGGCATGGGTTGTTTAGTCCTTGAGATAATTTCTTGATGCTTCTGCAGAGCTTGTGTTTGGAAAGGAGAGGGTTGATCAAATGAGCTTCGGTACTTGTTTTGAAGGACCACATGCTGCACAGGTGATGTATTTTGTAATGAAGTGTATTGTGGTTGCTGTATCTTCTTCATATTACTTATATTATTCTGTGTTTGGAAAAATTACGACCACCACATCACCTATGAAGTTGTAGTATCTATCTATAGTTTCACATAGTGTGGCTTGACATCATTCCAAGTTTTGATAAAATCCTGGTCTAGTATGGACTCAGTAATGAGTGTGGGCCACTTAAATGAGGGGCCTATACTCATTAATATTTTTAAAAGATATAATAATATATAAATTTAATTATATATTAACTATTTCTTAATTTTATTTAAATTAATTTGTGTTAGTAATATATAAATATTTTTCTGTTAAGTCTTCTTTTTTATTTCATAAAAGTTTATTCTTTATAAAATAACATACATACTTACTATACTTTTATTAAAATATAATTTTAAAAATATTTTAATACTCATTTAATTTATTTTTCATCAAATATTGTAAATCAAATTTATTTTTATATCAATCAATATCAATTGTCCCATAATCCTTACAAATTCAAAATTCATCCGAACATCTCAACTGGCTTAATTCAAATTATTGAGTCCAAAAAAATCTCTGGATTCTAAATACAATTCCGAAAGCAACCAAACATACCCTTCATTTTCCTTTCCATAGTTTCCTTTATACGTGAAAAGCCGTGAGCTCTGTTTGCTTATGTTCTTAACTTTGTTTTCGCACCATTAACAAAATAATTTCCCTTATAAAAACACATCATTAAACACCTATTTAAAATATTATCTGAAAACATATTCTTTCTTGAAAACATCACATCCGACATCAAATCCAATACTTACTTTTATTCAATTTCTTTTTTTTACTATTTCCAAAACAACAAAAAATACGAAAATACTTTCAAAATATATCTAAACACAGCCAGCTTTTGGATGTACTAGTTATTGCATGAAACAAGGCTCAATGTTGTTAAGCAATTCATGTGGAGGCTAACTGTTAAGCAATATGCAGAAGGCAAAATGCTTTTTGTCAAAGAGCAACTGGATTGCTATGCCACTAATGGTTTCAAAGGGAAAGAAATCTGGGGAAACTGCCTCAGTTCAAAATGATGTCATGTGGCACGACATTGGCGTTGCTTGATCCAGAAAATTTTGATGGTTTTGTTGCGATTGCTTTTTTTGGATCGCATGAGCTGCATACCTATTTTGCCTTGCAATTAAAATGCTGCTAGGTTTCAAATTTTTTCTCTGCAAAACTATCCTAACCTTATAACCTATTATGTAAACACGGGTTTTTATGCCTTCTGTTACTTGTGTATCCAATCATTTTATTGGATAACTGATGAAATCTGTTTGAAATCAGGTTAGAAAACTTGTTTACTAATGATCCTTAGTAGTAATTAGGTATTGAGGTTTAATGGTGGTGTTTGAACCTTGGACGCTGTGGCCTAAGGGATGGGGTGGCTGCAAACCGCTACTGAGCATGAAAAATGTGCAACATGATATATACAAAGAAAATAATGCTTTTGAATAATTGTGCTCTTTGATTTTAATGATATTATGATAGTATTCCATAACTTTTATGCCTGCTTTGAAATATTTATGTTCTTTATTTGTCTCTAATATATGATTGAGCATCTATTTTCCGGAGTATTCCTGGTTTCTGTTATGTGATATGTTGCCTTTCAAATCTCCTCTTATAAAATTCCACTCCTGGGCTTTCTTTATTGGCTGGATGGGCCAGTTTTTTAGGATGCTGTATTTGATTGTTCTCGATGCTCCACTAATTTGAAATGAAGCTAGCATGCTTTGCTCATTTTTGGTACTTAAATAGAGCTATTTGTATCAGATGTATGGACTTCCGAATCAAGCAAAAGGTCCAAAGAGCCCTTGGATGCCTTTTCCTATGCTATTCGCTGCCATATCAAGCAAAATAATTCCGCGAAACATGGAGCTTGTGAAGATCAACTATGTTTTATTCAGGGTTTGTCTATCAACCCTTCTGTGCAACTAATGTCAATGTTTTTTATTTTTACTTTGGCATTTGAGTCCCTGTCTCATGGTGTTGCCAGAATAAAAGGTTTAGCCGGGATGAATTTGTGAGGAGGTTGAGGGTGATTGTTGGTGATGATTTGCTGAAGGCTGCAATAACAAGTCTTCAGGCCAAGGTAATTAGCTTCTCAAGCATCTCTTAAGGTAATATTGTGCTTGCTATGTATATCATTGTAGGTTACCATTTGTCTTCTGGCATTCAATATTAAATCGCAGTTCCACATGCTTACTGGACTTCCTGTTTGCCATTTTAGAGTATAGTGTTGCATACCTGTCCAATTTAATATCTTCAGTGATCGTTGACACAACTAAGCTTTATCATCATGGATCCAGATATATTTTTTACTAAAAAAAACATCAAATTAAACACTTATTTTTAATTTGTATATTATATTAAAAGTTAATTTTATATTTACTAGAACATATCAATATCTATTTTTATTGCATTATACAACTATTTTAATTTCAAGTTTTACTATTCAAAATTCAAACGTCAACCACATACAATTGGTTTAGAATGGTGAAATTTTGAATTGAAATAGTTGTTTGATGCGATATAAATATGTGTTGATGTGATATTTTGAATGTAAAATTAAATTTTAGTATAATATAATAAATAAAAATATTTGTTTGATTTGATTATTTTTGTGGGAAAAATTTTGGGATAGTAAAACCTTTTAAAAACCCCACAAACACACTTGCTTTGGAAATTTTAATTTATGATTTTTATTATATTATGTTTTGGCACATCCATGAGTCCTGAATAGGTTTTGGCATTGTCTTTGAAGTGATATCCTTTTTGTTCCGGCACTTGTACCTTGAATTTGATGCAATTTCAAACAGATATGCATTTTGGATTTCTGCAGATGTCATATGGATCAGATGTGGAAACAGCCTAGTGCTGGAGGCGGTGTTTGCGAAAGGTAGCTGGTGAATATCTCCTCTGTTTTTATAATGGTTTGTGTGGTTGGTTATGTTCTGTGAATGCTGGTACTGAATGTTTTAGGTACTCATTACTGTGGTAACTTCTGCTAGTTTGAACCTTCAATAAGTAAATGAAACTTGTGTTTTGTGCTCTGGGTAAATGTAGGATGTGTTTTGTCCTGCACATTATGCACATTAGTCATGCTTTTTTTTTTGAATAACGTGGGAACTCGCATCCGCTATTTGACGAGGCAGAATCTAATAGTCAGCAAACTAGGTGCGAACAATGTATGGTAAGCAAGCATATTAGTCATGCTTGATAGTACAAAGTTTGTGTCTTGCCCATTTCAATGTATATTTTAGAAGTTGACACTTTATTTTAACAATATATACATTTTTTTTAAAAAAAAGTATACTTTTTATGCAACTGGAGCATATATTTGTTGACATCACCATCTTTTGTATATTGATAACCTAATGTTTTTATGCTTGGAAGCATGGTTGTGCCATGGCGTCCCGGCGGTATGGCGCGCTAATCTTTAGTCCAATCCAAGCCCTAACCAGAATCCAGGCCTACACCTACCTGAACCGGACTTGAACCGGTCTAAATCTAAAACCGTTTTTGAAATCTATTTGATTCGAATTGTTGCCTCTCTTCCACCGCCGCAGTTGCTTGTAAATCTCCTCTGCATTTCTGCTGCTCCGCCGCTCAAAACCGAGCCAGTAGTCATGATAGTCGTCATCGAGTATTGATATTTATATGCTTTATTTTGTATTTATTTTTTATATTATTATTATTCTATTATTATCTATTAGTATTAACTGTATATATTATATATTATATTACTATTATTAGTTAGTATTTTAGTGATAATTATTTATATATATACTTTATTTGTTAATATTATTTATTTTATTTTGTATCATATTTTTTATATTTTGTTAAATATTCTATTTATTTTGTATTATTTTGATATATTGATATAAAAATATTTATAGGATTTAATTTGCTATGGCTGAAAGTGAAGATTCATCTAAGGATCTAAAAAGAAAAGTCAAATCAAATTATCCGGGTTGCTTGGAAATTTTAGAGATATAGAAAAGTGTTAAAAACTACTGAAGAAATTTGGAATGAGATGCAGGAGTTTTTAAAGAAAAGACGGTAGAAAAGCAGTTCAGTCGTGTTGAGTTACATGACGACGATGATGTTGACGTTGATGTGAATGTACAAGGAACAAGGCAAGGGGTATCGCACGACTTCGTTTTTTATTCTAGTTTGAGTACCTTAAGCAAGAGGAAGCATTTGTAATCTGCATTAAATTTTCTATAATGTCGTCACAAAATGGAAAAGAAGGCAAGACAGTTGCCTCAATGATTAGAAGAACTCCGTAAGAAGTTATTGAGCAAAGAATATTGGAAGCGTGTACGAGGAGAAACGAGGAGATCAAAAGATTTCATAAAAATATTGCCTTTTTTTTTTTTTTTTAATGAAAATGACATACTATCTAATATGACAAAGTCGAAATCTTAAGATAATGATCGAGTCGGCGGGGCAGATGAGACCGGGTGTAAAAGGTCTAAGTTATCATGAATTACGAGATCCTCTTTTAGAGAAGACGATGAAAAAGACACAAACGCATAAGGGAAAATATGTTATTGCTTAGAAGTAATACAGTTGTTCACTTATGGCTGACAGGTGGGCGGATAAAAGAGGGTGAAATCTGATTAATTTCTTTGTCAATAGCCCATAAGGTATAGTTTTTTGAGTCGATTGATGCATTAAGCTAAGCCCAAGTTGCATCATTATTGGCGGATTTATTTTATACGAAAATTGAAGAAATTGGCAAAGAATACATGATTCAGTAGCTCATTACCTTGATTTTATGTTGAAAGATATTAGGAAATTATCTATTTTTCGGGCAAAGATTGACAATGCGATAAGAGTTACTATGTATATCTATGAGCACATAAGGCTCCTTAATGTGATGTAGGAAAATACAGACGACAGTGATCTTGTGAGGCTTAGGCCTACCCAGTTCCTTTACTTTGCAGAGCTTATATAAGCAATAGAGATGCTTTTAAGCAACTTATTTTTTTTAGTGAAGATTGGATTATATTGAAATTGGCTAATACAAATGCCGGGAGATTAGTAGCAAATACGGTATCGTCTTCTCCCTTTTGGACTGACTTGGAGTATTGTATAAGAGCATCCCATCCACTTCTAATTGTTTTGAGGATTGTTGACGGGGATGAGAAGCCAACGATACCGGAGCTTGCAGTAGCAATGAATGAAACTAAAAAGAAAATCAAAGAACATTTTGAGAAAAAGCCAAATTTATTGAAATAAGTTATGCATATTATCGATAGTCGGTCGGAGGATCAAATGGAAGTCGAGTTGTACGGGGCTGCATTGTTTTTTAATCCTTCTAAGTACTTTGATCTCAAAGTTAGTAATAATGCATATGCTCGTAAGGCACGGACTATGTTTAATGATGCTCTTGAGAAAATGATCACGGATGATGAATTGCAAATAAAGATTTGTAATCAAGTTGATGATTATTATAATATGAGGGAAGTCTCGGAAAATAGTTGACTATCAAGCAACAAAAGACAAAAATTCCTCGTAAGTATTTAATTTTTATAATTTCTATTTTATGTATTTAGTTATATTTTCAATTTTCTTTAAATGTCGAACTAAATATGTTTTTTTAATATTTTACAATTTTAGTTGATTTCACTTCGAGGTCCAATCACTTGACTTCCGTATAATTAGTTTTTGTTGTTCGTCTTCTGAGTGTAAATGTAATTGGAGATAATTCGAATTTGTAAGTGCTTAATTACTTATGTAAATAATATATTAAACCTTGATGCTATCGTAGTTATATACTGATATATTATAATTTATTTCTTTTTAGATTCACTCGAAAAAATAAAATAGATTGGAGCATATGAGATTGAACGATTTAGTTTTCGTTTAATACAATTGAAAAATTGCGAATAGAATTCAAAAGAGGCGTGAGGAAAGATGGAACTTTAATCCTTTGGTGTTGGAGGAATTTGAATGGGATAATGAATAGGTTCTCGACACCAATGATGTAGTTCATTCGAAAGAGGATCTTACACGGAGTCATTTTTATGAAGCCATGAGTGTATCGACCAATCTTTAACGGCACAATATTCCTAAAAGGGTAAACATCGGTGTTGGAATTGGAACTCCCATTTGCAGATATATGAATAATGACTTAGTTTCCCTAACAGTTCGAGCTTTTAGGTACGACGGTCATTAGCATTCGACATAGTATCAGAGCAAAATATTTATATTTAAAAATATAAAGTGAACAAATCTTATATTGATATCCGTTCTAATTTAAAGTATCATTTTTGTCTGTCACATTGAAAAATATTTAAAAGTAATCATATACTAATACAAAACTATTAACTTTTATTTAAATTAAAAATATATTATTATATATATAATTATTTTTTTATATGAAAAAGTTATTTGTTTTTTTTAATAATCGCAACCGCTACTTGTCGATTGCGCTCTGATTAAACTTTCTGCCGAACTTAATACCCTGCAAGTTAGGTCCAATAAGACAAGTCACACTAAATCGAGTACGTGTGGCATGTTTATCTTATATATTTTGAATCTCAGTTTCATGTGTTCACCTATCTCTTCGTTATTGTTTTGCATTTTTTATTTTGAACATATTTTTTAGTTTTTTAACCTTTAATATTCAAAAGTAGGAACATTTTCAATTATATTAAATTAAATGGACAAGCTCATCTTTCCCTTTCCAACCTATATGTCAACACACAACATTGAAAATAGTTGAAAATTTACTTGTTCATTATTCATACCTCAATTTCACAATAAACATTTTTACTCAGACCCCAATTATACCTTCACTTTGTTGTTTATTTACTATTCCTTTACCTTAAATTGACTGCCTGCCCATCCAACAAAGTTCAAATTTAAACTCACATTTGGAGCTGCATTAATACATACAGAGGAACCCTATAAAAGTAAACATTAGTAGGTAATCTCATTTTGCTTCAAAGCCGGAATTCGATCTTTTAACCGCATATACTCGAAGGCGCCTTCAATCAAATCCAACTACAAATAACATGATCGGAAATGAAGGCTTTCGAGGAATTAACAATATATAGAGTTGCAAAAAAAGTTGCATTTGTTAAAAACAAATGCGAAAAATTCACCGAGCCAGAGGTGCTAACAGTATACGAGGCACGAACAATACAGACAAACCATATTTACTACCATCTACCGAACTGATGTATAGGGCAACAAAACTTACCGAATTAAAGTAGAAACAACATGTTTCTTGCTTAATATATTCCAAGTGCTATGATGGAAGGGGAGCAGATACATCAGCTTCAGCAGCCTCGCTGGACGGATCCCAACCGGGTGGTTTGATGTCCGGCCAATCTCCACGGCATCCCAGTCTTACATACAGACTTTTTCTACCTTCAACAGAGCAAACTTTTCTCAGTAATTCGACATTCAATTCAGGAGAAATCGCTTGACCCATCATTGCTATGAGGAGAGTGATTTATAAACAATTTAAGTAAGATCTTTTGGCAATTTTTTAAAAAAATTTAACTGTTCAACTTTCATGATTTCTTATAAAGATAAACTATTCCTTCTCACAAAACCCAAATTCATAAAAAAAAATCACCAACCAAACAGACTTAGCTATCTGATCATTTTCGTTTTTTAAAAATTTTTATATTAGACGGGCGAAAGTGAAATCATTGAAATGTGTTTCTTTACTTAGGATCCTTACAAATAAGTGGAAAGATAATGCTGTTCTAAGAATCTCAATTCTCAGCTACAAAAGTTCGCCTTGACTCAAGTATTGACATCAAAACATTTTGATTCTATATTGCTGGAAGTTGCTAAGAAAAAGGAAAAGTATCGATTGGAAAATGGTGTAAACAGGTAATGCACCTGGCAGATTTTTATCTGACAAAATCAAGCGCTTGAGAGCACTCAGCGAAGCCTGGGATATGGATTTGGAATAGGATGCATCCCAACCTCCGAGCTTCACTACCACTTCAGCATTAGCATACCCTAGAATGTCGTCTTGAAAGTTCTTCTTAGCTTCTTCTTTGGCTGACACTTCATCTGATATCATAATTTCAAAGAATAATGAAGTAAGATTAGCTACTGTAGGTGATTCCCGTACCACATGTACCTAAACATATTACATAACTTTTTTTTTTTTTTAGCAAGATATCGTAGTTTTCCATTTGACTACATGGAATTGATTTAAATATGTAAGAATCATCACTATATGGAATGATGGAATAACAAACATGGTGTCTCTTACAGTAAAAAATGAAGACAAAGATTGGAAGACAATGAGACCAGTTTCCCATAAAATTAGAAATTTGAAATGTAATATATAGCCCAATCACAATCAAAATGCTTCTGAAATGACATCCAGGAATCCACATACTTAAAATAGGTTTAAAATATACATTCAGGGGATTGTTACAATACGTTGTTAGGTACTCAATGCAATAAGAAATATCCATGTGACAGGCAACAGGTCAAAAACTTACCTCTACTCTGTTTTATACTACACTCTATTAATTTCACGCTACGCTCCTTCAAGAAGGGTTAAAGAAAGTTGGTTGATTATATAAATCTTGGTAGGAAGTTAGTGTAGAGCTATTTCATGGTTTTTATAACAATCCAACACATTATGTATGAATGAATCATGTTATCAGGACACTAAACAAGGAAAATATATCATTATGCTATTGTGCTTGCAGAATTTACACTCGAATAAAATTCTCACAACTGTAATCTATTGATGAATAATCATCACCTGCTGCTTCAGATTGAGACAACCATACAGTAAATCCTGCAAAAAGATGCTGCCATTTATTTGGCCTGCTGGCAGCACCACGTTTTGCTCCTAATGTTGCAACAACTGCTCTGGCTTGGCTGAAAACTCCATGATTGAAAAACAATTAATTTCATAGCCCACAATGGTGCAATGTGTATACATGGACAAAAAACTTCACAGCCAAGTATTGATGAGTAGATGCAAATGTACCTGCTCAGACTTTCTAATATAATGCCTTCTGCTTCTGCAACAGCATCAGGACCCTCTTCAGCCTCCCCTGCAAATGGACTTTATACATTAAAGCACTACCAAATGTAAAAAACTGAGATATTAAGGACTTTGTTTGACGAAGTGCAAGGTGTGGGATGACAGTAATTACTTGAAATAGTTTATTGGAATTCATAGATGTTTAATACAGTAACATACAATGCATTAGTTGCATTAGAAGTTGTTCTATGAGATTGTCTAAGACAATTTATTAGTTGATAGTTTTGTAACATACAAAGAACTACACGAATAATAACATACATGTCTTGATTAGAGGAGACTCTAACAAATGCTGTCATAGTTAGTATGTACTTAAGAAATGAGTAAATGGGCAAACATTTACACTTCTACTGAGTTAATTGTTTTCTAACTTTCTTTCTCTTGTGCCATGTCAATATTGCAAATAGTGTTGCAAACTAACTCTTCACGACTGGTCCTGATTCATGTCTCCTTTTGTTTATAACATAGTAAACTTTTCACTTTTTACAGAATCACCTACATTCTTGCTTCTTGATCATACAATAGGTTGCCATTAGGCACTTGATTAGTTGAGAAAAGAAGGAAACAGCAATGACATTGTTTTCTAGTGTTGCAGATGGGTTAAAATACATGATGCCTTTTCTATTGATGTAGCACATTAAATATGTAGGCACATATATGTGTGTGTGTGTGTGTGTGTAGAGAGAGAGAGAGAGATTCACAAACTCTCTTATATACATGCATCGATGGTTTTTTTGGTATATTGCTCCAGAAGCTCCTCTGTGCTAAGGGGCGTATATCTGTCAAAACAGAAGAAGAATCTTGAGTAATGTCACAAATGTGGGGCCAAGAAGTTGAGCTCAGCTAACTATAAACCAAAAAGGATACTCCCTTAATGTATAACTACATTTGAGAATTAAGGAAGATGAGAAAAGCAAGTGAACAGAGAACTGAACCAGATACACCTAGAATGGGAAATGTGATATACGACTGATGGGGAGCATCTGAAGTGCTATGTCCAAGAAAATTTAACAATGACTTGAGAGCAATAGAACTCTATAAAGGGAAAAAAACCAAAATGAAAAAATAAATAAATAAAAGAGAAGAACAGGGGATGGCTAAAGGAAGGAGGACAATAATATTTATGGCACAAGCATATACGATAATAATAATTATATTTAATCCCTTGTTCTATTGAGCTATACATACCCAAGTCCAACAGCTAATTCTCGAGCAATCTTGTAGTTGATTTCTGTTGACTCTCCAACTAAAAAAACTGACGTCCCTTTAAGTAATTGTGCTACTCCCATTGTTAAGGATTCCCACGATTCCATGATGTCAGGCCATTTTAATTCTGGGTCTTGCTTCTTCAGACTTACAATTAGTTGAGAATCATCAATATACCTGTCATAGAAAACAATCTAGAATTCAGATAAAATAAAATAAATTATTCGTCGCAACAGGCACAACTGGTGATACCATATTGTTTCAGAAGGCTTTATCGTTCCATAGAGACAACTAGTATCCAGAAGTGTCTTCAGATATCCGGGATACTGCACATTTATTACCAGAGAGCTTTCACTTGCATCTACAAAAATCTCCCCCGGACTTAGGATTTCTGCTCCAAGTTCCAGTCTCAACTCTATCTCAGATGAGTCATCATGAAACTGCACCGAAGATTATTATGTTGTACAGCAATAAATAAGTTTGGTTCAACAAGATCTTCGAAAGCTTTAAAGAGCAAAAGAGGGTACACTAGGGTGTGTTCTTTTGGGGGACTTGCCCAGATTTCTACTATTCATCTAATTTTTTCCCACCAAAAATATCAAATCAAACACCTATTTTTTATTTTTATATTGTACTAAAAATCAATTTTACATTCAAAACATCACATCAACACCTATTTATATCACATCATACAACTATTCCAATTCAAAAATTTTACTATTCAAATCTCAATTCAAAATCCAAACTCCCAAACAAACACACCCTAAGCTAAATAGGCTCATGAAGATAAAGCAGTTGTCTTTCCAAAAGCTTCATCATATAAGTCTCGTAGAAGTTATTAGTTACTAATGAAAAGCTACTTGGGCCGTTGGAAATGATACAAACAAAGGTTGACATGCAGATGCTGATAAGCCATAAACTAGGAGCAAACTTCTATAATCGAAATACCATACTGGAAGGATCAAAATAAATATTAATGTTTTATTTTTATTATCATTTTCTTTTTAAGTATTCAAGGAATTTCCAATGCTAAATGCAGCCACAATTGAGTATTTTGCTTTTACAGTCAACATATTTTTCACTTGGCTACAATAATCCATTTCTGTACCATGCTCTGCAAATCTGATTGTAAACCATTAACAATATTTTGTCAAGTTCGAAAGGTTTTGATCATTTTCAAGACCTCTGAGAACGGAAGCAGCAATCCAATTGTTAAGTACAAATGTTTGTTTAATTGGAGTAAAACATAGTAAAACATTTTATCCCCATACAATTTTATTATCCTTACAAAACAAATATATTTCCTATCATGCATAATTTTTAAGGACAGAGGGAGTATTTAACTTCCTGAATGTTAACTGGCAGAGAAAGAAATGGAAAGACGACGAATTGAGATTATTTTCTTTCGAGAAGTGCTACATTTTTCCTAGCAACAACTCCCAAGGCTTCACAATTTAAGCAACAAAGCTCTTAATAAAGTAAAAAACAATAACAATATTGCTAGGCTTTCAAATTTGCTCGCACGAATCCACACAATTCAGATTATCTTCTGCTCACTTTTGTTGGTATCAAAACACAAAGAATAAATAACTAAATAAAATCCAAAAATTCAAAACCTAATTCTAATTAAGCATTCCTTACGAATTACATATGCGTATAATTGATAAACGAAACTTACCTCGTAGTGAGTTGTGGCTGTGGAAACAACTGGAGTGCTGCTACAGCGTAGGCTACGTTTGCTGTGGAGAAGCGATGCAGGATGTCGATGGATTGGGGAAAGCAGGAATTTGGGAATTGGCAAGGATGGAAGAGTTTTGGGAACGAAAACTGAGCTTCTGATTGGGTGCAGAGAGAGGAAGCTATTGGCTGTGGCCATTTTTGCTGCATCTATCCATTCGACCTCATATTTAAATCTTTATTTATATATGTGCGTTCATGTGTTTTTCACATTTCGGTAGTCAAGACAAGAGTGAGTGTAATTTTTTTCCACTCGTATAATATCTGACATTTTTCTTGTATTTCTTACAATATTTTTTTTCCAAATATTATTTTATGCTTTCGGCAATTCTATTATGGCATGGTTATTAAATTAAATAATTAATTTTATTTTTTATATTATAATGATAATAAATTTTATATTTAAAATTATTTATACGAAATAATTATTAAATTTTAAATTCAAAAATCAAATCTACAAAGAAATACGCCCTTATAAATTAAAAAGAAAAAATAGAGAGAAAAAAATACCAACATAATCAAATAAACTTTATATACTAATATTTTTATAAAGTGGCTTTGTTTGGGTGTTTTGATTTTGAGATTTAATTTGAATATTAAAATTTTGAATTTAAATAATTATTTGATTGGACGATATAAATAAAAATGGATGTGATTCTTAAAATATAAAATTAATTTTTAGTATAATGTAAAATATATATATATTTGATTTAATGTTTTAAAAAAAAATTATAAATAGTAAAAGTAAATTAAGATTAGTCAAACGATTAAACTTAAATTAATACTCCCTCTGTCCTTAGCTATGTGTCAATGTACATTTCTACATATCTCATGTCTTTTCTTTTAAAAAATAATTATATATTTTAATTTTATTAAAACAAAAATTAATTTATAATTTTTAAATTTTAATTAAACTAATTAAATATTTTAATCTTAATAATATACAATTATATTTAGAGTAGACAAACATAGACATCATCCGAAAATCCAATCGGATCCCAACATAAAAAACTTTGCTAGGACTTAAAAAATATGCCAGAAAATTGGGTTGTGTTTGGCCCAGCCCAGCCCGGCCCAGTTATAAATTAATATAATTTTTAAAAATAATTTTATAAATATATTAATAAATAAATTTAAGTAAAAAAAAATGTATGTATTCACTGGTTAAGTTCTTGTGAGTTCACTACAAAAATAAACACGGTCCGAAAATAAGATTTGAATTTGACATGAAAATTTAAGCCAACAGTCAGCCAGCCCGATTTTCCGGCTCTAATTATATTATACATTAGTTATTTTCATTAATATATTTTTTATTAATTATATTTCTCTTAAATTTAGTAGTAAATTATAGTATTAAATAGTAAAAATTTTAAATTTAAATAATAAGTTAATTCATTATAAATAGAAGTTGATGAAATTAAAATTGATTTTTTTAGCATACAATAAAAAAAATATGAAACTTTGATTTAATATAAAGAAAAACAGAAAATTGTAACTTTTTTTTACTTTGATTTAATATAAAGAAAAACAGAAAATTGTAACTTTTTTTTTTTCAAAAATTTCTAACCAAAGACCCTTAAAGCTCCTTCAACATACAATATGTACTCAAATAGTTTTGTTTTTTTCTTTTTCAACATTAAATTTAAATTTATTTTTTTTATTATTTTAATTATCATACAGAAAATTATAAAATATTGCATTTAAATTATTATTAAAATAACAAATCAAATTAGAAAAAAAAAAAAACAAAAAAACACTGAAAATATATTTTATCACCCCTATATATATCTCTATAAGTAGACAACCCCTATATATATCTCTATAAATAGACACAGCATGCATGTATAGATGAAGAGTATGTTTTTATTTTATTTTATTTTATTTTTTAAAATTTTTGTTTAAATAGTATTTTTGATATATTTTTTTTTTGGTCTAGGATTAGATGACCCATTTACTTAGATAAGTTATGATAAAGAAATTTAAACAGTGTAAATTAGTAAATTATTAATAATAAGTTGATGATAAGAAATTTAGAATATGCATTTAAATATTTTTAGCATTATATCTCAATAAAATATACAATATGAATATTATTTTCTAAATAGCAATTTTATTTATAATTAATTTAAATTAGTTTTACAAAAAATAGAGAATTTTAAATATAGATAAAAAAAATTGTTTATTAAAAATAAATAAAAATAAAAAAGATTTTGAATGAATCATACCTGAAATTTAATTAAATTGATTATATTTACTAAATATGTTTAAAATAAATAAATTTATGAAAAATAAAAAAAAAATTATATATTACAAAACAAGAATCATACGTAATATTTTGTAAAAGAAATAATAATATTTTTTTTTATTAAAAATCATTTATAATAAATAATATTAATTTAAATTTGAAATCATAACCAAACACCCAAAGGTATAAATGGGTCACTTTTGTCCAAGCAAGGCTAAAGGGATTAAATTTATAGTGTTCAAATTAACAATAACATTGTTTGCAACTACAATAAATATATATATATATATATATATATTTTGGCATTGTCTTAGTTATTCTTGTAGCAATCTAAGCATAGTCTATGTAGAAATCCAGGCCAGCTAACTAGGCAAAAATATTCTTTGGAAATAATTCCATTTTTTGGCACATATCAATCAACTTCTTCACCCCTCTTGCTATGCTATAACAATCTCCAAACCCTTTTTCTTTCCTCCCTTTTGGATACATTCCACACGGTACCGGTAACGGGAACGGGAAACTTATTGAGATGTCGACATGCTTCCAAACCAACAACAAATCCGCGATGGCACCCGATGTGATCTTGGATGAGTCTCCCGGATCGATGAGTGGTCCAAAACGCATACTTATCGTCATGGATGGCCTCAAAGAGTTCTCCGTCGACTTGCTCGAATGGGTATTGAAGAACTTCACTTCTCCCGATTGCGGCAACATTACGTTGCTTGGAATCATGCCATGGCTCAATATTCCTCGTAAGTTTGGGACTATTCTTTTCAAGTCTGGATTTGAATTTGAAGTTTAGAAAAAGTAAACTTTTAAACTCAAATAGTATTTGATAAGATATAAATAAGTGTGCAATGCAACGTGATGTGATATCTTGAAGGAAAAACTATTACTCCCTCCGTCCCGCTGCAAGATTGCCATTGGCTTTTTGCATGTTGATATTTGAATATTAATTATTATATCAAGACGTAGTACAAATCGAGAAAAAAAGACAAGAATATGTTTATTAGTCTCTTGTAATACAATACAATGAAATTTTTAGAGTAAATTATTCAAATATAAGGATATTTTTAATGTCAAGTATAATGACGCAAAAACCAAATGGCAACCTTGCTGCGGGACGGAGGGAGTATTATTTTTTTTTTTATGTCCTAGACTTAAATGAAAAATTTTATGGATAGTGCGAGACTAAAATCAAATCTTAAAAGAAAAAATCTTTTATTATTTGTTCTCATAACATTGCAAATCAAAATCAATACTATTCACCTTGCACAAAAATATACTATTTTTATTTTTTTCATAAAATATCACATCAAAATACTATTTAAATAAAAACTCAAATCAGCTCTCCATTTGAAGCTACAACCAAACAAATGCTATGTTTCGGTGCAGTGTCTTCGAAGACATGGTCGGATATTTGGGCTATGGATTTGGATTTGGAGGATATATCGTTGTTTTTGGAGAAAACCGAGCTCAAGACTGATGCGCGATATCAAAAAATCCAACGCCTCATTGGTTTGTGCCATCGATATGGGGTTGGTAGTTTTGTTCATGTCTAAGTCTCGATGCATGTATCATTTTTGGTAGTGTCTTGGCTGCGGTGATCGTATGTTTTTGCCGTTTCAGGTGGTGCCGGAGATCCGGACTGAAATGGGCCATCCGATACGCCTGCTTGTTGTCGAACAAATCAGCAACCTTCATGCTACATTAGTAGTTTTTGATAGGTACGTAAGGAAGTATAACCATAAAAATTTACAAGAATAAATTTTACTGTACAATTGAATTTGGCCACAAGAATAACACACTATGCAATAGTATAAGTACAAATATTTGCAAGTGTCAGGGCCATTGGGATCCTCGGAAAATTTTTTCGACAGAGGCCGATTTTTTAAAATTTATAATATATAATAATTTAAAAATTATATAAATATAATAATTATTTTCGACATTTGAACTTTTTTTTTTTGTGTGTTCGAATTAAATATTTGTAATACTTCCTCCATAGATAAAATTATGTAGTTTAGTTGAAAATAATTTTATTTTAATATTAAACGGGGAGGTTATGTAAAAAATTAAGTTGGTGTATTGTAAGAAATCTATTAAAGAATTGATAAAAAAAAAATAGTAGGATAAGTTAAAAAAATAGTAGGATAAACGAATGACAAAAAAAAGTTAGTGATATAATTTTAACAAACAAATAAAGTAATAATATCTTTATTAAGTATATAAAGATTCTTAAATTTTAAAAATTAAATATATATTACATGATAAAAATAGAAAACTAAAATAATTGAAGGGCGAAATTAAATATATATTACATGATAAAAATAAAAAACTAAAATAATTGAAGGGCAACACCCTTGACCCCTACTAGCTACGTCACTGTCTCATCCATCTCATACGGTATATATATTCATAGACTTTGTCTGTATGTATAAAGGGACAACGGATTCTTGTAGGGTATTAGGTTCGGCTGAGGGTTTACCTAGTGTACACTTTCGGGTAGCGACTGCGGATTCCCACGTCATAAAAAAAAAAAAAAAAAAAAAATGGACCGCGGATCCTTTGTGAATAACTAGTTGGAAATATAATCATTAATATTTGCAAGTGTTTGGCAAAAATGAGTCTTATTATAGGATTTAATCTAGTAATAAAAATAAGTTGCATTGCTATCAAACTCTATGAAAATTCTAATTTGACTATTACAAAAAATACAAAAATAATATTAAACTAGTATTTTTCTTAATGTTCAAAAGTTTTTACTAAACATGGAATACATATTTTTATTAAAATTGTGATATTGCATAATAAAAATTAAAAAAAGCATAATATTCTTCGCGTCTAATTTATCATATAATTTTATTTATTCCATTTTTATTCAAGATTGTTGTTTTGATTTTCTACTTCCCTAACAAAAAAAGCACGAGCTGATTACATATAATGCAACAGACACCACGACAAGAAATACATCGAA